GGCTGTACTCATAGGTGAAATGAATTAGACCCACATGTGTTAACATCCTCTTGTCTCCCTAGTATAAGTACCAGAATGAGTAAATAAAATCTGAAGGGTGCAATAGATACAGTAAAAGGTAAAGAAACTTCTCAAAAGGAATGAAAAATTAGGATGAGAAGAAGGAGCAAATGAAGGGGAAAAAAGGTGGAGAACAAATCATGAATGTATATACACATGATAGCTAAGATGATTGTCCTACTAATTTCTACTGGTTTTATGAAGGGAACAGTTAATGCTTCAAATATGAATTTGACATGCCTGTATCTGGTAATCTGAGCAACTACAGTAAAGACAGCATTGTGGAATAGAACAACCCCTGTTGAATACTTATCATCTATTTAAATTGTGTATCATTTTTATTGTCTTTTTTTGCGGGGGGGGACTGGGGATTGAACTCAGACCCTTGTGCTTGCCAGGGAAGTGCTTATTCTATTGAGCTATCTCCTCGGCCCCTCCACTGTCTTTATTAATACTTTTCTACTCTCTTTAAGATAAAAACCAAAAATAAATAAAAATGAATAGACTTTCATGTCACCACTTAAAAAGTAATTAAATTAATAAATTAATTAACTCCATTTAGTTATTCCACATTGGATACATATTATAAATAATTATGATATATGTGATAGATACAAATTACTATTATTTGAAAATTCTAGGTGCTGTTCTCCGAGTACGCGTCTCAGCCGGCGCCGTCCTCATGGCCTCCCAAAACCGCGACCCGGCCGCTAGCGTTACTGTAAAGGAGAAAGGAGACGAGCCCAGCGGTGGCGCAGCCCTGGGCCCTGTGGGCAAGAGGTTACAGGAGGAGATGATGACCCTCATGATGTCTGGTGACAAAGGAATTTCTGCCTTTCCGGAGTCAGACAACCTTTTCAAATGAGTAGGGACCATCCATGGAGCAGCGCGCACAGTGTATGAAGACCTGAGGTATAAGCTCTCCCTGGCGTTCCCCAGTGGCTACCCTTACAACGCTCCCACAGTGAAATTCCTCACTCCCTGCTACCACCCCAGTGTGGACACCCAGGGTAACACCTGCCTGGACTGGACATCCTGAAGGACAAGTGCTCCGCCTTGTATGACGTCAAGACCATTCTACTATCCATCCAGAGCCTGCTAGGAGAACCCAACATCATAGTCCTTTGAACACACATGCTACGGAGCTCTGGAAAAATCCCACAGCTTTTAAGAAGTGCCTGCAAGAAACTTATTCAAAGCAAGTGTCTAGCCAAGAGCCCTGACCTCAGCTGACCAGCCTTTTCTCCTGTCTTTACTTCTTTAGTCTGTCTTGCCCTTGATTTCTGTGTAAGACACTGTGTCTTGAGCTGTGGTGATTCTGTTTTATTTGTTTTTTAAATTAAGTCTCTGGTTGAGCCTTTGCAATGTATATTATTAAATAGAAACATTTTTATTGTTTTAGCATGCACATACACACAAAAGAAAATTCTATAAAATTAACAATAGCAAAATTAAAAGGTTTATAAAGAATTATTATGGGATTGGAGAGATGGCCTGAGTTCAGTCTCCAGTTCCACCAAAAAAAGAACAAAAAAAAAAAAGAATTACTATGACTATGCCTACAAGTTCAATTACTTGGATAAAACTAACAGTTCAGGGGCTGGGGAGATGGCTCAGTAGAACAAGCACGCATGCCTGGCAAGTGCAAGGGCCTGAGTTCAATCCCTGGTTCTGCCAAAGAAAGAAAGAAAGAAAGAAAGAAAGAAAGAAAGAAAGAAAGAAAGAAAGAAAGAAAGAAAGAACAGTTCAGAAAAAGGCATATCAGACCAACAATTCAAGTATTAAAGATTATGTAAATGAACTTGAGAAAAGTAAGAGAATAAAAAGTTTATACTGGTACAAATTGCAAAAGAACTGAAATAAAAACACTGACATGCCTTCAGTTCTGCATGCTACTCATTATTTAGAGGGAAAAAGCATTAGTCCATTACAATTATTATTCAGAAAATGAAATGGGGAGCTGGACAAATAGCTCAGCAGATTAAACACCTGCAAGCAGGCACAGGGGCCAGGGGTTTGATCCCTGGGCCTTCCAAGCTGGCCCCATCCCTGGCTTAGACAGCAACTGAGACAGCTTCTTAGCTCATGGGAGGCTGTAAACAGGTGGATCACTATGAGTCCAATGTAGTAGAGACACTGAACACCCTGTAGACCCTCCCCTAAAAATACAAAAAAAAAAAAAAAACAAAGAAAATGAAATGGAAAAGGTCTCCACTGATGCCACAATGGAAAACAGAACATCTTCTATCAGCTAAGGTTCCCTTGATTACCACTGACAGCCATGAATCATGAAAAGATGCTAGGGATATGCTTTGCGTGAGATCCCAGAAAACAGGGAATTCCAGAAAGTCACTGGATTGTGTAGATCTTCCCTCTCACATTCCACTTTTTTTAATTGTTTTAATCTTTTTTTAAAATTTTTATTTGCGTGTGTGTGTGTGTGTGTGTGTGTGGCCAGCTCAGCCCACCAGGGGGCGGGGCTGGCTGGCATGTGGTGCTGGGGGTTTGAACCGCGGTCCCTGTGCTTTGCTAAGCTTGTTCTAAGTAGGTGCTTTAGACCACTGAGCCATCTCACCAGCCCCTCACATTCCATTTTGCACTGTGCTTCATAAAAATTGAAGTGAGGTTCTCACCTTTTCATACAAACATGCAGTTCTTCCCACAACCTTTGAAAGTGATGCACCTCTGTGAGGTATGAATTAGACAAAGAAATTCATGAGCCTTACTAGAAAACAGGGCAGCCCAGAACAGAAGGAAACACTTTTCACATCTTCTAAATCTCAGAAGTAGGCACTTCTCGTGAGGCTTACCTGCAACATGGCCCTCGCTGACCCCTGCACCCGATACTGCACATCTGAGATGAGCCCCCTCAAGTACTGGACATCCTGGGCCAGCTGCTTTCTAGACTCTGCCAGGATCCTCAGACCATCTTCTTCCTCTTTCTTCAGTTTTTGCAGATGCTCTTTCTCCTCGGAGTCTAGGATGTTTCTCATTTTCTTAAACTCACCCCGGACATCTCTTATCTCCCCCTCTATTTGATTCTTTAGGCATCAGAAAGAAAGAGGAACTCAGTCACATGAGGTTTCCAGCCCCCCCAAAAAAAAACCTTTTTTCACAGATCATTTCAAAGGACAAAGGAGGTGGACAGGAACAACTCTTAGAGAAGCATAGCGTTCCTTTGGCTTTTCCCTTCCTGCCATTAAAATCCATGACAGTATGGCAACATTCTCAAGGCTCCCTGACCCAAAAGAGACACCCACATTCCCATCTTCAGGACCCCCACTCATCTCCCAGCTTTACTTCTCAGTGCACAAATGCACTCCCTGCCCAAACTACAATATGTAAGAAACACTGCAGACCCATTGTCAAGTGTTAGTCTCAGTAGAATCTGTCTCACCAACCAGCAAGCCCAGGAGCTCAGCATTCACTACTCTCCATGTCTGTAGCCCTCAGTGAAAACACCTTCCCTCCCTGCGCCTCACTCAAAGAGTGAAAATCAGTCTCTAAACTGTACTCCCAGAGGATGTGCATGCACAGGATTCATCAAATGACTTTGGGATTCCACAAAGGCCACAGAATAAAGAAGGGACGTCCTCCCCAGGAACCTGTCAGATTTCTGGCTAACACCCTGAGGAATGGCAAACTCCTGCCTTCCAGGAAGTACTTTCTTCTTCAATATGAGCTTCCCACTTCTCCAACTCTTTCTCATCCTTCTTCAGTTTTTCTAGCACTTTGCCAAGCATCTCCTGTGAGAAAAGAATCACAGCAGAGTCAAGCTATGAGCTCCTCAGCACCTGGAGAGTGGATAAATGTGGGTGAAATCTAGCTGATCTGGGCTAGAGAGATAGCTCAGTGGTCTAAGTGCCTGGCTGGCAAGCAAAAGGACATGGTTTCCATCCCTGGTACTACTGTGCCTGCCACCTATACCAGACATTGTGGTAAACACCTCTATCCCAGTGCTGGAGAAGGTGAGACAGGAGGATCACTATGAGTCCAAGCTGTGTATGGAGATCCTGCACCAATTAAATAAATACATAAACAAAAGACTTTTTAAAAAAGAAAGAAAACTAGTTGATCCCATGAGAAACTAGAATTTATTGAATATGAGAAAAACCTGATGAGAAAAACACCAGAGGAGAGGATTACCCTCTTTATGTCCCTAGGGAATTCTTCTTTAAGTAGGAAGACAAGTGCCCTTCACCAAGTATAGACTGATTCTTTCTGTCCTGCAAGTGAAAGCTGAATCTACATCAAGGCAAGAACTTGGGTACTGGGGGGCTTGCCGGTTACCCAGCTCCACATGACTTACCAGACCTGTCCTTAAGGCAGACTGAGCCAGCCCCCCCCCTCAAAAAAAAGTCATTCTTAACCTAGGACTGGCCAAATAGCTCAGCAGATTAAAGTTCCTGCAACTTTAGGGGCCAGAGGTTCAATCCCCAGGCCTGCAGTGCTGGCCCGCCTCCAGGGCACACTGAAATGGCAATTGAGACTAGGCATTGTGGCACATGTCTATAATCCCAGCTCTTGGGAGGCTGTAAACAGGTGGATCACTATGAGTCTGATCTAGTAGTGAGACCCTGAACGCCCTGTAGACCCTTCCCTAAAATATATATATATAAAAAGAAAGAACTTATGTATGAATTAATTTCATTCATTCTTTTGTGCAAATAGGTAAACAGATTTGGGCATGAAATCTCCACCCATCTAGTGCAATTTATGTGAATTTTTGTTTTAGACTTGGAACTTTTACTCTAAGTGTATTGTATTGCAATCCACTGGGGTACACAGAAATATAGATCATGCATCAGAAAATAAGCTTAAAATGGAAAGAAACCACAGACCTGAGTTCTACAGTGGGAAACTAATTAAACTATAGCACAGAGAAGTTTCCCACCAGGTACGGATTTCTAGTCCACCTTCAGAGAACTCTGATCTCTTACCCGATACTCCTGTGCAGCCTCCTCCATGAGAAGAGTGTGGTGACCACAGTGCTTCTGAGAATGCTCACAAAGCCAGCAAATGACCTCCTCATCCTCTTTACAAAACAGCAGGAGTTTCTCCCCATGGAGCTCACACAGATCTGCCTTCAAGGGCAGTGTCAACTCCCGGAGCCTCTCTACTATGTTGGCCACATGTCGACTGGGCCTCAGGTTTTCAAACTGGTAGGTGATTCGGCACACGGGGCAGCGGCCCACACCTTCTCCGTGTTGCATGGACTCATAGTTTGAGGTGATGCAGAGTTTGCAGAAATAGTGGCCGCAGTCTGTGCTTACAGGATCCTTCATGAGCTCCAGGCAGATGGGGCAGGTCACCTCCTCCTTGACATTCTCTAGGACTGAGGAAGCCATAGAAGCTGCGTCCCTGCTCCTGTCTCTTCAGACTCTCAGTGTTGTACTTCTCTGGATCCTGAGGCTGGGAAAATTAAAGTGGGGAAGATAAGAAATGTAAGAATAGAAAGAATGAATAATGACTAAGCAAAAATTGCATAGACATTAAGCCCAAATTATTTAAAATAAAAAAAAAGAAAAGAGAGTGAAACACACAGAGGAATTTACTGATTTCATGTTCCTTATGTCATTATTATTTCATGCACTTTTCTTCCAGTTTATATTATATAATAAAATGTATACAGAGAATGATTTTTATTTTCCCTTCCTTTACTGGACACAAGGACAAATGGAGTCCTCTTCTCCCAGAATTCTTTTTTTTTTTGCAGAACCAGGGATTGAACTCAGGTCCTTGTGCTTGCCAAGCAAGTGCTTATTATACTGAGCCATCTCCCTGGCACCTTCTCCCAGAATTCTTGCATAGTCCTTACTTTTTTTTCTCCCATGAAAATCACATAGTCAATAATAAAACCACCAAACTCCCTATACTGCAGGACCCTACCTTTGCTGTCAATATGCTCCCGTTCTTATACTTCCTGCACAAGTTATCATTGCAGAAAGCTGCTCCAACTTCCTCATTTGCACAGTTTCACAACTTGTTTTTCATATTTCATTATTTCCTTTTAACAATAAGACATAAAAACTTAATTCTTTCATTACATGCATAAATGGAATACACTAAAAGAAGCCCAAATACAATACGGTCCTTCCTTTTTCATGACCCTGACTCTTTCCATGGTTCTGATTGCAAACTGAGTTGGACGGTAACAGAATTAAATTGCGTGGTTGGCATCAGTGTTGTCCATGGGGAAATTTGAGTTTTTTGTCATCCAGTTCAGTTTGCAGCCTGAATCACTGAGTTTGTGAAACAAGGCACAACTGTATGCTTTCATGACTTTCAGCTGTAATTAACCCATTCAATCCTCCTGCAGAGCTCTTTCCTCTATGCTGAGGAATAAAGCAAGAGGTGGATCAACAATCAGAGCAATGTTGTTGTACAAGCAAGCTTCTCAGTAGTAGATGGTTCCGGGAATCATGGTTTTAAATGCTAGCATTTAGTTTTGGCTTTGAAATTTACCAAGGACATAGAATGCAGTTTAAAGATATATATATCTTTAAAAGGGGGGTGACATAAATATAATTTCAGAATTCCACACATCAGAGACATGAAAATCATAATCCCAGAGGTATTGAATGTTGCATTTTTTAGAGAAGCCCCCAAATATTAGACATGATCATCTTGTACATTATTATTGATAGTGAATTACATCCCAGTAGCTTGACTTAAATCTCAAAAGAAAGATAATACCAGAGGCCAAACATGGTTTAAACCAGCATAAGGGACTTGGCATTCACCTTCAAAATCATATATCATAAATAACCAGAACTATCTGAGGTAACAAACACTACAGAAATGCACCTGTAATTACAAAATTGAATGACAGATCAATATTGTTATCCTAGAATTCGAGCCTGAAAATACAAGGTTTTTAACTGAAGCCAAACGAATGTGGAAGAAATATGGGTTAAAAAAGACCATGTGTTGAATGTGTTAGATAGAAGAAATTACATCTTAAATAGCCTGTTTAGGGCCAGGCAAATAACTCAGTGGATTAAAGTGCCTGCAAACAGGTGCAGGGACCAGGGCTTTGATCTTGGGTCTGCAGTGCTGCCCCTCCCCCCAGGGTGCGCTGAAATGGCAAGTTAGACTGGGCATAGCTGTTCATGCCTGTATTTCCAGCTCTTGGGAGGTTGTAAACAGGCAGACAGGGCCAGGGAGATGGCTCAGTAGAATAAACGTTCCCTGGCCCTGGCAAGCGCAAGGGACTGAGTTCAATCCCCAGTTACACAAAAAAGAAAAAAAAAAAAAAGGAAGATCACTAAGAATCCGATCTAATAGTGAGACCCTGAACACCTTGTAGACCCTTCCCTAAAATACAAAAAATAAATAGCCTATACATATTCATGAAGTAACTCTGCCAAGAGGTGCTAGCTTTGGGTATCACATACAGGACAGGGAAGAAACAATGTGTCCTCTCTCAGATGACACTAACACTTAGGAACTCTTCCTTAAAGAAAATGAGACATTCATTTTCTACCTCCTGGCCAACACTATGTGGAGTCAGCCCAAACACATGGAGACATTGAAAAGCTCCCCATTGTCAGCTGGCAAAGAAAAGTGCCCCATGGTTTTGACACTGTCACAAGAAACAGGATGATCTGCCCTGTGGATCAGTGTCCTGCACACTTAGCCAAGATGGAATCACAGGTGTTGGCATCAAGGAGGAAAGGGGATTGCACTGGGCTGGCTCTCAGCTAGAGAAGAAGGCCACCCTCCCTGCTCACACCTCACTCCTGCAGGGCCTCAGACTCTGCAGCAGGAAGCAGTCTCTCACCTGCCCCAGAAATGCTTCAAACCCGGGAAGAATCGCACCCAAGCAAATGCAGCTTTTCCTTCTAAGGTCCTCCAAGTTCTGCCCACTGTAGAATTCTTATCTCAGCTTTGGAAAGCTGTGGAGAAGTCTTTGAGTCCATGCAGAGGAAACAGGTCAGCAGCCTGGGTCCTATTTACTCACTGAGGGAAACTGAAAGGAAATGAGTGAAAGGGTTTGTGCAGGCGGGGCTGGGCAGGCAGAGCTACGATGGGAGGGCCCTGTGTAAGCCTGGCTGTGAGCCTGCATGATCCTTGGAGGAGGCCTTGGGAAAGAAACAGCCTCTCCCAAATTGTATTTCCTTGTTTCAATGTACTATCTGTGCCCTGGGCTCTGAATCTAATTAGTACAGCTTTGAAATATGTTTGGTAATATGTTTTGTAGGAAGCCCCTCCTAAGCCTCCTCTCAGTCTAAGGAGTCTATATTTGTAATCGCAAAATCATGTTACTAGAATCCCACCAAGTTAATTCCAATTTCCCATTCCTAGTGCAACCCATGGTGAAAATAAAGACACTAAAACATATTTATAATTTTGGGGAGCCAAGGAGCTTTAAATGCAGCCATTAATATGGCTTTCTGGAACAAAGAGGCCTACGCAGGACTGAACCAGGTTTTATGCAGTCCTGAAGGAGGTGTGGCTTGAGGATGAATGACAGAGAATTGTGGCAATAGGTGAGTATTGTGAAGTGGGCTAGGTAGGAGGCCTACATTTATTTCTGTCATATGCAGAAAAAGTAATTTGCATTATACTATTGAGATAGTATCTGATGTCTTGGGGTCTGGTGCTTCAGCTCTGAGGTGTAATCATTCAAGCTCCAGGAAGTCATAGCCTCTGTCTTCAGGCTCAATCCCAGCTGACAACATGGAGCATTGGCTCTTCTTCCCTGGCTCATATCAAAGAGAAGCAGGTGTGGGTTATCAGAGAAGCACGCACATGCCATCTTCAAAGACTACTACCAGCACCTTGCCTGACCAATATGCACTGCTTATGGCCACTTGAAGGGATAAGAAAAAGTCCTAGCCAGCTCTGTACCTATCAATGTATAGAATAGGATCAGGCACAGCCCAAATGGAGACAAGTGCTCTTCTTTTAAGGAGAGTTGCCCAGGTGGTCCTCTACATATTTCACTGAGATATTAGTCTCAGCATCTTTTGCCCTACTTTGCTGTATTTTGTTACCCAGATATGATTATTTAAACTTGTAACTATTAAGATGTCTTAATTGTGAAAGGTAGGAACAAACAGAAGCTAACAGAAGAATATATTTATTGAGAGAAAGGAAGTTCCTGTGTGAGAGAAGGATAGGAAGGGGGTCCGAGCGAGTTGTTCCCAGGAAGCTGTTTCTTCCAGGGACTTTTATAGAGGAAAACCATGTGGTGAGGCTGGTCTAAAGTGGTGGAGAAGATATGAGAACTCACTTAGGTAGGCATGAGGTGGGACAAAACTATGGTCAACCAATGAGATTACAAGCACCATTGATCAGGTAAAATTGATTAAATCCAGGACTAAATGGGGAAGTGTGTCATGTAGCAAATGAGTATGAATATGGGACAGGGTCTCCTCCTGTTGGTGGTTGGACTATGACTCATTTGGCCTCTTTCAAGGTGATTGATACCTATTTAGAATATCAATCCCTGATGCTCATCACTGGGGAAGTATGTAGCAGTATTTCCTCTTTTCTCTTGAGGTCTGGCCCATATGGGACTGTCTCTTCCAAGTTGCAAAGTCACCTTATCTTTCATCTTGTCTCCTTGAGGGTCTGGCCCTGTCTAACTGGCTATAATATTTCTATCTAATTCAGCTGCCAACAGTATGCTCCCCTCTGAAGAAGTAACCTGAACTGCAGTGAGGGAACCATGGGCGATGACTGCTCTGGCTACTTTAGGTTGAAAGGGGTCATAGTTGTTGACCGGCAATTAGAGATACTCTCCAGAGGTTCTATCTAAAGGTCCTCAACAGATATCAGTCATTTTTATCTTGGGTATACATGTAGCTTTGAATCTGGAGAAGACAAAGCCAAAGAAACAATTAAACACACATGGGTCAAATAATCACAACAGGACAATTATAAAAAAGATGAGGTAGAACTTGTTGTGGATCCATTAGAAAAGATCTCTTAAATTTGGTGTTAAATCTCTTTTTTATCTTCCATGGCCACTGGGTATTGTCTCAAATAAACTGGCTAATCCTATTATTACTGGAGCATATGAATTGCCAGACCTATGGAAAACACTCAGTAATTTCTAATTTGCAAGTGGATCATTGGCTAGGTAACTACTGACAAATCTGCATAAGCATCTATTAAAAGCATAACAGGCTTTCCCCTCATATTGGCAGTTAACATGGGCTTCCTAAAACTGAGAGGAAAGAACCATGACCACTTCAATCTGAAGCTTCCCCTGACTTCATCATGAACACTTTCTTTTTCCTTCTCTAGCAGCTTTGGACATTACTTCTTGAAATGTCCCTTCTCTCTGTCTGGATCCAGGGAAGCATAACTTTTTTCCCATTTCCTGACTATCCTTCATTTCTTTAGGTGTCTAGTATCACTATTCTGATTTTCTGTCAATAATTCCATTCTGTATTTTCTCAATTATAAAACACTTCAACTCAGACAAATTCATTCATGCAAACCCTTCTAACTTCTGCACCTTGTGTCAGAAACCTGGGGCCCACTGAGCAAGATAAAACTTTTTGGTTTTAATTCCTCCTGCAGGCAGCCCTGCCTAAGGAATGTGAGGGCAATTTCCCCTGTAGGGGATTTCCTGACATAGGATTAGACAGATAAAGGAAGCATGTTTGAGGACAATCAGCCCAGCCCAAGGAAAATGAAGAGAGCTTCCCTTGTAATGAGGTAGGAAATGCTGGGGAGGGCTCAGGTCACCTGAGCTGTATGAGATGGACAGTTAAGGCCTTACTATGTCTCTATAGGCAAAATCTGGCAGATCTCAGTAGAAGGAATAAAAAAGTAATCAAGCATATTTGCAATAGGTTTTACCTGTATGATTATCTAGGCTTTGCTATCTTTTAAAGAATAAACTTTCTGAGAAATTAGAGCACATATAATCAAAGCATTAGCATTTGAGCTAACAGGTAAGTTTATGAACTTTTTAAAGGAATAGCAATTGTAACGCAACTGACTTTTAAAAAAAAATAATTTTATTGAGAAACAATTAGCAATGAGACAGTTTCAAAACAGATTAGTAGGACAGTTTCAATAATTAATACATTGCATGTTGTTGTCTTCTTAGTGGTTATTCATAGTAAAAGATGCAGACATAATATCCTATCAACAAACACTATTAAAACAAATCCTTCTATTAATTGAATTAAGAGAAAGTAGCTGTATATCTATCCTATTTGGATATACAGATACAAAATGGTCCTTCATTGTATCCCCTTTTTTTAATTAGTTGTGTCAGAGAATGGTATGCCATTGTCATTTAAATATCATAGGTGTAAGAATTCAGCAAGATATTCTAATATACTCTAGTAGTCCATAATAGTAGTGGGTTTCCTGTAGGACTGGCAAAGTCAAAAGTTGCTGACTTGAGCCTTTCACCGCTCAGCATATTAATATGGCTTTACTTTTTAAACCTTGTTTTTATATTTTTCACTGGATGGTTAAGACCAAGATAAAGCAAGACAATATATAACAGGAAATGTAACTTTTGGATCTGACAAGGTCAATAAAATCCCCTTAGGATTTATCCTGAGACCCTGTACCACACTTAATAAATCCTTTGTCAGTGTTAGCCATGTGGATGAGTCACAGCCATTGCTTGACCAATTTGCCTACTGTGAGAACCTGAGAGAAAGTTTTCTCTCCCTGTAACTCTCCTTAGGCACACTCCACATCATCAATCATTTTTCTTGTGGCTCCACAAACTCCTAGATCAAAAAATTTGAGACACCACTGAGTTATATGATGTTACAGTGTAGGTTCACCTATGTCCAGAGTCCTCACTGATCTTTTTTTTTAATTTTATTTATTTATGTATTTGTGTATGTGTGTGTGTGTGTGTGTGTGTGTGGCCAGCTCAGCCCACCAGGGAGCGGGGCTGGCTGGCATGTGGTGCTGGGGGATTGAACTGCCGTCCATGTGCTTTGCTAAGCTTGTTCTAAGTAGGTGCTTTAGACCACTGAACCATCTCACCAGCCCCAATCCTCACTGATCTTGAAAGGCTAAGGACAAAAGATTGGCTGTCCTTGCAGCCCTTCTTTTTCCTCTAATTTTTGGTCTTCAAACTTAAGTTGTTAACCCTCCAGAACAGAAGCTTATTATTATTAACTTACAACATATGCAGTTGATCTTAACCTCACTATCTGTCTGAATATCAAACATCTTAGGCATGACATGGAACAGGTATTTTCTATCAAGTATTGATATGATAAACTTTAAGCCACTACAGAACATGAAGAAAAAAATTTAAATGAAGAATATTTTTTTAAAAATAGGAATAAACAATTACGTATTTTTATACAGAAATTTAGAAGTCTAACAATATATAACATTGTAGCAGAACAGTCCTATGACATTTTTTCCTTCTCACTTGTTTTCCTTTATTACCCTTTTTTTAAAACAAACATTTACTTGACAGACAGCATGGCAGTAACTGGTATGATGTGACAATAGTATGTATTTAGAAGACCACAATGAAAGGCATTCCAAGCATGACCCTAGTATTACACATTGCTATCTTCAGTGCAATTGCTTAGTTCACAGGTATCCACATATATATTTAGTCAGGGTGAGAATCTTACCAATTAACTGCTAGTTTCAAAAACCTGCTGAAGATTCTCAGGATCATTGCCTTAACCATCTTGTGTATATAAATGTATATGGCTTTGCCCCTGTAATGTTTCCTAGCTTTTCTCCTTGCCCTCTCTTTGTTGTCTAATCCTTAAGTTCTCACTTTCCTTTTAATTGTGTTATACCTTTCTATTTTTATTTCTTCATCTCAGTTCTTACATTGGGGGACTATACAATATTTATACATGTGGGTCTGGTTTATTTCACTTATGAGTATAATTTCAAGTGGCATCAGCTTAAATACAAAAGCTTTGAGTTTATCATTCTTTATAGCTGAGTAATACTCCATTGTATAAAAATACC